TCAGGACATTTTTCTCTCCTACTGACCTCATGTCCAAAGCTTTCCTCCTTTTCCTGATCACTAATGTGACGGTAATTGCACTGACTATCAAAGCATAACAGCTGCATTTGCACTAACCCCGCATATAAAATAGGGGGAACATTTCAGTGACAAAAACTGGATATTTCTGTGCTGTCCACAAATGTAGTATAAGGGCTGTTTTTGTTTTGTCAATGTAAAGAGAGCTGTTATTAAAGATGTAGCATGATGGTGAGGAGAGGTTCTGTTATTAGGAATGCAATATCATTGCAAAGTGCTGGGTGCCACAGAGATAAGGTGCTAGGGGGCCTCATCCGAATGTATGGGGTCTGATGACTTGTACTTATGCACCTAATACAAAGTTTATTCTACCATAATCTGGGCATGCTGGCACTTTTTTTTTTTTTTTTAAATTATTATTATTTTCACAGTAAAGTGGCACTTTAAATGCATGTTTGTGAAGTAATGGTAACTGTTACCTGTATATTTGCCTCTCACACTCCTCCTTTATGATAATAATGCCTTCATCTGCATTTTATTCCAGAATGGTATGGTCTGTGTTCAGGCATGGTATGGTCTGTGTTCAGGCATAATCTACTTACTGAACTAAGACGCTATATCAGAAATTCAACAATCGTAAATCTGGTACCTGTACAGTTCTTTGATTTTTTTTCACAAATGCCTACCACAGATCAGCCCCGGTTACAGCCTCTTTTTCCTAAAAATTACAATGTTGTTGTTTTAAGTGAAAGGCTTTTTGGAGAGAAGACTGGAGGGGGTATTATAATTTCAGCCTAGGCAGCCTAGTCAGAGTTTCCATCTTTACTGAGGTATTTTTTTTATAAAAACATATGTCAGCAATGTACACCAAGTAAACCTGAAGCAGGCATATTGTGTGCAGAGGCGGAGCTGCTGTTTACTGATCATGTTAGGATGAATAACAGGGAGGGGGAGAGCCGTTTAGAGTCTACATTGTATCCTACCCTGGTATCCGACTGAGTTTCCTTTGGAGAAAATGTTGTATTTCTAGGCTTCAGGCCTAATACAAATTTAATTAAAAAGTAAAGAAAGCCTGCAATGCGAGTCATGAAAGTGTGCACATGTATACATCATCACTGCACCTCTTCATTACCACAATAAGTGCAAATCGCTTACATAGGTGGAATTGGACTTTAAGGGTTCATTCGCATTTGTCACTTGCTTTTTTATGTAGAGATCTGTCTGCAGAATCTGTCGGGTTAGATTTATTATTTTTTAATTACAGGTATTTATATAGCACCGACAATTTACGCAGCGCTTTTACATAGCGTACATTCACATCAGTCCCTGCCCTCATGGAGCTTACAATGTAAGGTCCCTATATACCATGCATACATACAGGGCCGATTTAGACAGGAGCCAATTTGCCTTCCAGCATGTCTTTGGATACTTTGTTTATGCTTCTACCGTGTTTCCCCGAAAATAAGACACTGTCTTATATTTTTTTTTGGCTCAAAAAAACACACTAGGTCTTTATTTTCAGGGTAGGTCTTATTTTATTTTAATGTACAACAATCCACACTTATTCATGTAGAAAGGTCTACATGTATTCATGTACAAAAATATGGTGATCAGGGCAATCAGGGGTGCCATACCTTTTCAAGAGCAATTTGCTAACCAATCGCTGGCCAGAATGAGCGAAGCGCACTTTCACTATCAATTACTCACAGGCGGGGTGCATTTGGTATCACTCCGCCTGTGATAGGAGTTCAAGTTCCCCCTTATGCCACCACCGGCCCTGGGAATAATTACAACTCGGTCTTATTTTCGGGATAGGTCTTATTTTTGGCGGGAAACAGGGTAGATGCTTAAAATGATGCGTGTTTACGCACGTTTACATGCATATGCATTTAGATGCAGCTGACCTTTGTCCATTGAAACAGTCCATTTAAGTAACGAGATTTCAGAAAATAAACGTGCCTCGCGTTTATACATGTTTACATGCATTTTGGAGCGTTTAGAAGTTAAAATTGATTCCTGGATGCACCTGACTTCTTCTATATTTTCCTGATGCAGCTAAACTGACTGCAGATAAAAAAGAGCATCTAAACACAAGGTGTGAATTGATCCATTGGAAATCATTAGATGCATATATATGTGTTTAGAAAACTATTGTAAATGTATCTAATTGCACCTAGAATGAATATAGAAATTCTTTCAATTGAAAATATAACATGTTGACAGTTGCAAAATGCAGACACCAGAGTCAGTATGAGTCATTTAACTTGACAATAACTCTGACTAGTGTTTCAGTTTTAGGTCAGGCCTGAGAACCAGAAAAGCAGATATTTGCGCATTCCTTCACTGCTGCTAGGTTAATCAGTGTTCTCACGGCAAGGGGCTTTTTTTTATGTGGACTTCAAAGGGTGTTTCTTTATTGTCTATTGACGGACACAGGAATTGTAAGAACTCTTAGGCCTTGTTCACACCAAATGCAGACCAGATCCGGTCAGGTTTCTGCACACGCACGATGCGTTTTTGATGCGGTTTTTTTTTGCATGAAAAGCAGCTGCAGGTGTCAGTGAGCAAACAGGCAGTGTGATAAGGAGGAGTGGTGGGGGGGAAGGGGGTGGATGGAATACTGCATTTGAGGAACTACTAGTATACAATGCCATTCACATTGAAGTACTCACCACAGCTCTCATCTGTCAAGGACATATCCTTATATCCTGGGAAAACTCTCCCTGCTATCCAACTCCACTGGTCAGCCTTCTTTCTATTGTTCTTATATTGAAAGTGTCTGTTGTCATATAGCTCAGGGCACTGTTGAACCATACTTATGAATCTCTCTGGGTCACAAAACTGGTCCACCATTTTTCCTTTGCTCTCCAGCTCACAAGGTCACCTTTTCCAAAGACAGGAAGTGACAAAGGAAGATTAGGTCATGACAGATGACCATAGAGGTTTTTTTCTTTATAGTTATTTTTTCCCATTGAATTGCATTGGGTTGCGTTTTTGATGCGTTCCAGAGCAGGTAATATAGGGCTTGCCGCAGTTTTTTCACCTGCTCTGGATCTGGTCTGGATCCGCACGCTGCGATGTGAACTGGAGGTCAAAATACCATAGGAATACATTGGATGCAGTTTTGATCCGGTCTGCACCTGCTCTGGTCTGGATCTGCTCCACGCTTGGTGTGAACAAGGCCTAAGGCCTAAGAACAATAGAAAGAAGGCTGACCAGTGGAGTTTGATAGCAGGGAGAGTTTTCCCAGGATATAAGGATATGTCCTTGACAGATAAGGAGAGCTGTGGGGAGTACTTCAATGTGAATGGCATTGTCTACTAGTAGTTCCTCAAATGCAGTATTCCATCCACACCCCTTCCCCCCCCACCACTCCTCCTTATCACACTGCCTTATAATGCCGCCTTCAGGAGGTTGGGACCCTGACGAAGAAAAAAACGTTAAGCCAGCCCTGATGTAACCCCTCATTAACAATCATAGCTCTGGTTTTTGTCCTAGCAGGTCCGACGTCTTGGACCTATATTTTTGCTAGTCCTTTTTTCTTTATTAAAGATACTAGATACACCAAAGAAATGTTTGGTTCTTCTGTGTCTTCAATCAAGACTTCAGTTACGCTGCTTAAGTTAGTCTCTACACAGCAGTTGTTTGTATTGGCTTATTCTTGGCAACCTGGACAGCTCTGGGCTGAAGACTGCAGGGCTAGCCTGCAAAGTGACCTTCGGGCACTGGGCTTGGTATTGTGGAACTTTCTAGAACTTTGTGTACTGCGTAAGCCGCAGAACGCTCAACTGGTTCAGAGCTGTGGCACAGCCTCTGGTGTGACCCAGTACCTGAAGACTGGGGTAGTGATCGATGACCATCGACATTTTAACATGGCAATTTTTGAGGCTGCGATAAAACAGAGTGCTGACATCATCTACTAGCTGAAGTGTTCTCACCATTCAGCCTAGAGGAAGCTATATCCCAGAGCTGCTTCTTCTAGTTCCACTGAGGGCAGCGATCAAGCATGGTCTATGCTTGATCAGCTTTAATAGACTGCAAAGGTGACATTAGGGGTCTAAATCATGCCTAAAATGTGCATTTTTGTATGGGCAAAATTAAATTGCAAAAACGGCTCTGACAGCAAAAGGGTTAATGGACCGTACACTGATGCCATCTGCCATGGAAGAGTCCAAATCTGACCCTACATAGCCTCAATCTCTAAGTGTGACTGGGGCCCCTATTATTAGCTCTGATTCGCAGTCCTTGTAGTCTGCTGCTAAAGAGACTGTATTTCAGAAAATTACATATATCTCCAATTTTCAATTGATTGATGCAGTGCGTTCTACCATGCAGTTGGCAGCAAAGACCTTTTCAACACACTCTGCTTTTAAACCATTGCTCTGTGAGGACTGGAAGGAACCTATGCATTCATGGGCCCCTGCTGACAGTGTAAAGGAGCTTTTTTTTTTCCTTTTGAAAATGAATTTATTGATAAGTGGTCTCTGTCTGCTATTGGCACTCATCCACCTTATTGAGCATACCACTAAAAAGGTTGATGGTGCCCTTACCGTTACATTTTTTACTGATGGTGAATGGTTGGTCCTCTATTCATTGGTTGAGACTCATGTTTCTTTCTGGTAGCACATTTCCCCCCCCCCCCAGTAGTGTTCATCTGGCCTACTCTGGAGCACCAGCTCAGTCCCTTCCTTTTGATTGTAACAATTTCCAAACATTTTTATTTATTTTTTACCATAAAATCATCTTCTTGAAGTTCATTGAGGGACACCCACCCTACTGAGTTATTGCCTTTTTATATACGGTGTGCTCTAAAAACTGAGGAATGATGGTTGGATGCTGGGCCATATTAGGGCTGGCTTCACGTTTTGTGCTTGCCATTGTCCTAACCTCCTGAAGGGGGGGGGGAATTATAACTCAACTGTTCAAGAATTTCTTATTGTAGTCATGAAAGGCTTAATAATGTATTTTATTTTGTATTTCAGGTACTGGCATGGTTTGAGGCAGGAGAAGAAACTACAACTGCCTTTGTGGAGCCTATAGTTATTGTCATGATCCTAATTGTAAATGCGTTCGTAGGCGTTTGGCAGGTATGTTATTCATCTTGTATACTTTTAGGCCTGTGTAAGAATTATTATTATTATTATTTTTTTACTCTGCTGCATCTATTACTGTGCTTTATGACTAATTAAAGAGGAACTGAACTCTGGAAGATGTGCCCAGAAAAGGCAGGCAGAGGTCAAAGGACTAAGCACCAGTGTTGACCATGGTCTAGCTGCAGATCTTTTTTTCCTATTGCTGACATACCATGCCTTGTTTTGCACCGTGGAGGCAGCCATCTCCGTAGAGGCAGGGCTTTGCTTCCTCATCTCAGAACCCCCAGCAAGGAGAACAGTAAGGGGCATAGTAGTGATATCACCAAATCTTCCTCCAAATCTGCTGAGACAAGCAGTCAGAGGCAGCAGTGCCTTAGATCTCACACTGTAGACATACAGCTGGGGCTGTATGCACCGAGTGCCTAGGCATGCTCAAATACCAGGAAGTACACTGCTGTTTTTTCCATAGCAAATCTTCACTATTTGAGATTAGGACCACTGTAAAAGGATAATTCTTCAATTTTATGGCACATTTTATATTTTCAAAAGCACTATTGAAAGCTTTGCTATGAATTAGAGTATACTACATCAAAATACATGGTTGTTGGGTTCTATTTGCCTCCTCTACATTTTCTAAAGCAGAGATCTTCATGTTACAATATACGTTTTTATAATCGATTACACCTGTGCCATACCAATCTTTTAACATTAAGTGAAAACTTGCGAACATAAACTCTAGAAAGCTGTGTCCAAAAAAGACTAGTTACTAGGGATGCACCGATATATCGGCCGCCAAAACATATTGGCCGAAAATGGCACTTTTGGCATAATGCCGAAAGAGCCATGTTTCGGCTGATACATCGGCGCATCCCTGCTTTCTTTTCTCCCCGCTGGGCGCTGTTCTATGTCCCAGCGGGGAGAAAAGAAAGTGATAGCCGGCCGAACGCTGCAGGACGATAGCGCTGTGAGCGGCCGGCTTCTCTTCTACCGCAACGCTCGGCCGCCTATCACAGTCCGGCAGAGCGGTGTGGGGGCGGAGACAGCGCTGTCACAGGAGGCTGGGCTCTCCTCTCTACACCGCTCGATCAGCCTCCTGTGACAGCGTGTCAGAGAGAAAAGCAAGGTACACACACTCAGCGATCAGTGATCGCTGAGTGTGTGTACATAATTGAGTATATGGTATGTTAACTATATCCTCAATTATGAATGAATGGGAGTGATCTACATCACCCCCATTCATTCATAATTGTAGTTATAGTAAACAAACAATGTTATCAATGAACAGGAACACTCATAGAGGATTCCTGTTCATTGATAACAGGGGACACAGAAAAAGAGATTGAGGACTCTGTGTTCTCAATCTCTTTTTCTATTTTAAAAGGGAAATAGCAGGGGTCTGTTTAGACCCCTAATATTTCCCTGAAGCCCTTAACAGTAAAGTTAAAAAATAAAAATATTTAATAAA